ATGTCTTGATTCTTTGTTATTTCAGTCCTAGAGAAATTTGGATTCTTTGATCAATTGACTAACTTAATTATGAATCTTATACTCCCTCCGTCCCATTTTATGTGAAGTAGTTTAAGAAAGAAAGGAAGACTTTTAAAACTTGTGATCCAAAATGAATGATAGAAATTTGTGTGTTGAAATTATGACTTCCTTAATTCGGTAAAGGAACGCGTACTTACTACTTGTTCTTTACTGTTTGCTAGTTGAAGTAAACAATTTTGTAGAATAACAATTAGTTCACAACTTTTTATTATTTATCTCAACTCCAAACACCACAATGATTACACGCCTATGTAATATAAGGAATTATAAACTCTAATTCCTAACTACCCAAGACCAAAACCCCCAGGTTCAAGTCTTCTACCGTCTTCCAAATTTCTCAAACTTGTTAGACGTATCCTACACACACAACTCGATTGTAATGAAAAAACTCTTAACTACAATCGTACAACTTTTTTCCACAAACTCGCAGCACTCCCAAGCAAATTACAAAACTCTCTCAAACTCTCTTTGACATCGTTTTGATTGACTCTCTATGTAAGTGCGCAAACTTCCTTGAAGAAGTTATTGCCCTATTTATAGATTTGGACTTGAATCCAAAACCTATTTCAACTTGGACTCCTACTTGTGCTCTGCTTCCTCTTCCGCTTGGAACTTAGAAGTTCACGCATAGTATTCCTTCTTCGTGTAGAACTCCTTCTTTATTGCACAAACCTACTCGATTTCCAAATCCTTCTCCCAGTCTGATTAGATGAACTTGAAACATGTAAACACAACCTGTTATATGCAACTTTGTCATTCTTCAACATACTTAACTTATTTCCACTTAACAAATTCCCCCTTTTTGACGATGGCAAATTATTCAAGCTTTGTATTGAATCTGTATTGCATTGAACTTTTGGATACTAGTAGGTATCACAGCAAATCGAAACATGTATGCGTAACATGTGTATGCAAGCAAGCTTCCCCCTTTTGACATCAGACAAAAAACTGAGAAGGACCTATACACACCATAGTAAGCAAAAACAACATAATAAACCATAACAAACAAAACCACCAACTTAGTCATTAGTTACACAACAAAATTAAGCAACAAAAAACCATTATCTGCAAAATTCAGAATTGCAAACTATCGTCTTTAAAAAGAACCCAAAACACATAACAAGGCATATGTAAGCTGGAGTGTTGATTTAAACAGAGGGTGGCACACAAGAGGATGAGGACGGAGAACCCTTGGCTAACAGATCAACAATATACTTCAGATGGGCAGAGTTAGAGGTTCTTTCAGTCTCCAGTGTTGCTTGAGTCGTAGCAAGCTCTTCCTTGAGTCTAGAGTTTTCTTCGACCAGTCCAGCATTCTCAAGCCCGTAGCTAATATGCAACTGATCCATAGCAGCTGAGTGAGAGACCTTAAGAGCAGCAATTTCCTCACCCTTTGCAGTCAATAATGCTCTCAGCTGTTGCATAGGTGCATTTGCCCTTCTAGAGGTAGTAGGTATAACAACATGATCCACTTCCCCCAAAACATCTTTTGTACTTTACACTTGCCACTCTTTAACCGGAACCTGAAAGAACTCAAAAACCTCTCCCAACCAGAACCCATACCCAAGCCCATGGTCGTTGTCATCATGCACAGAGATCCTATAAATATGACTAAGAATTAACTGTGGCAGATTAATTTGAACCTGAGATATCAGCAATTCCATGAGCGTGAGATCCAAATAGTTAGCCTTCGTACGCTTATGCTTCCTAGGGAGAATGATCTTATGTACTACATCAAAAAGCAACTTATGTAAAGGACACATGGCTCTTTTATCCACTCTAGTGTAATCCTCAAGCATAGGATCATTCGCAAATCGACGCGATATTTCTAGGGCTGATAGGAGACCCTCCAAGGGAGGCTAAGTACGTTTGACATAGTGACACCATCCTACATTAGGCACACCCAGTATTGTTGACAGAACCTCAGCTGTTAATGTGAAATATATACCTCCAACTATGCTAGAAATTGAAGAATCAGACCCAACCACATTACTATAAAATTCCCTAGTTTCTTTCCTACCCATCTTACGCCGTCGATTACCCTGAAGAAACAGAGCACTCCAACCCTGTGCTTGTAACAGGACAAGCAATTCACCCATTTCATTTCTCCCAAAACCTGCAATAACTCGACCCCTAATCACACTTCTTTTCTTAAATGACTTTATCCTAGCCTTACAATTTTCAGCGATAACTTCAATATCATCATCAAAATCTTCATTTGAACCAGATTTCTTAACAGACTTAGATACAATGCCCTGTTCTTTAGACACATTTCTCTTCCATTTACTACCCTTCTTGGTTTCAACTACGTTATCATCAATCTCTATAAGATTCGAAGGAGGAACACACTTACTTTTTACCGGATGGATTCTTGGTAGATTTAGTAAGAAAAGCCATATCCCGACTACGTTGCACCGATCTAGTCACTCAAATCAGAGTCTTCACTGGTGAGTCAGAGATAGGATTTTCTTGAGACTTGGGAACAGTCATAGCAAGGGGTTGACATAACTCTGTGCGAAGTCGTGAACGAAGCTTCTTAGAAATCAAGTAGACCAATGGAATATCATCATCATCATCATACGAGATATGACCCTTTTCCTTTGCTGATTTTTGTTTGGGATAATACATATATTTGACCTTAAACTTGGCTTCAAATTTTAACTTTGACCTCCAACTTTCATAGTGCACAAACAAGCACTTTAACTATCCACCCTTTTAATAAATAAACACGCGATTTTTGGAGCCAAGAGCGTGAAATGCAATCGCTGCCACGTGTATTAGTGAGCCCACGTCCATTTTAGAACTAAAAAATAAAATAAAATAAATTAAGGGTAGAGTTGTCATTTCAGCATTTTTTTCACTGTTGTGTGCCTAAAAATTACTTCTCACTCGCGCAAAATGCGTGCACGTCACGCGTTTTGCCAGGTAAGACACGCGTGTTTATTTATTAAAAGGTTGGATAGTTAAAGTGTCTATTTGTGCACTTTGAAAGTTGGAGGTCAAAGTTAAAATTTGAAGCCAAGTTTAAGGTCCAATATATGTATTATGCCTTTTTGTTCCCCCTGACAATAAGAATCCGTATTTTCAATACCACCAGAGTCAGGCTCCATGTTCTGGTTTCTTTCTTCCCCCTGAGTTTCAGCTTCCTCCATGAGAGGATTGGCAGGATGTGTTACACCAAATGAGTCAACAAACATTACATCGGGTAGGATGAACAGACTTACTTGATTCTCGAAGGGTATGATAGCAAGGTCGTCATTTTTAGACGGTGATAGCATGATTAGGGAATGGTTTGTGACGATTTGGGAATGATTTGGGAACGAGGGTGATAATAAGAAAGAAGGTTTTTGTGGAGGATGAAGAGGTATGGAACTTAATTTGAGAATGGTTACTAGGGAGTGGAAGGGTTTTTGGAGAAGAGAAACAGGTTGATTTGATGGTGAGGTCAGATTGATTTGATTTTTGGTGTTTTTGAATCATATCTTTCTATATTCTGGGTAGTGTGCACAAGTCATAATATTTTGGTCCTTTTTAAATAAGTATAGTGAGCAAACCTGTAATCGTAAGATGATGATTTTTTGACGTCCTAATCCTTGAGTCCCTAATTACCTGAGAAAAGTGAATTCTTTTAGTTACAGTTCATTATGAATGTTAAAAGCTTTATGAATAGCATGTACTCGAGCACCATAGTTTACTACTTGAGCATAGATACTTAGGCGATCTTTATCATCCCTAATTCCAACCTGCTTCTTTCAAAGTGTTCCCTTGCTAATGTCTTGGTGATAGTGTCAGCAATTTGTTGTTCAGTGGCACAAAAATTCATGGAAATTAGCCCATTTTCTACGTTGTTTCTTAGAAAGTGATGACGAATATCGATGTGTTTTGTTCTCTTATGTTGTACAGGATTTTTTGCAATGTTGATTGCACTTGTGTTACCACAAAAGATTGGGCTCAATACTAAGACCAAAATCACTGAGATGTTGTTTAATCCATAATAGTTGAGCACAACATGAGGTTGTTGCTACATATTCAGCTTCGGCGGTGGATAATGCAACCGAATTTTGTTTCTTTGATCCCCAAGAGATTAAACATGATCCTAGAAAGTGTGCCATATCTGTGGTACTTTTTCTGTCTGCTAGATAACCAGCATAATCTGCATCATCATACCCTACTAATCCAAAGTTACTCCCTTTTGGATACCATAGTCATAAATGAGTGGTTCCTTACAAGTATCTAAGAATTATTTTAACCACTTGGAGATGAGATTCTTTGGGGTTGGTTTGGAATCGAGCACATAATCCTACACTAAACACAATATCAGGCCTGCTGTCTGTAAAATACAAAAGTGACCCGATCATACCTCGATATAGTTTTTGTTCCATAACAGAACCTATTCCTTCGAGGTCTAATTTCGTGGTTGTAGCTATTGGGGTATTTATTTGTTTAGCATCTTCCATTTTGAATCTTTTGAGCAGTTCCTTAACATACTTTTGCTAGTGAATTAATGTACCTGTAGGTGTTTGCTTTATTTGGAGCCCCAGAAAGTAGTTCAATTCTCCAATCATGCTCATCTCAAACTCGTTGCTCATAAGATTGGGAAATTCGTTAGTGAGTGCCTTGTTTGTGGCTCCAAAGATTATGTCATCAACACATACATGTACAATCAGTGAATCATTTCATTTGTTTCTGAGAAACAGTGTGTTGTCAATTTTACCTCTTGAATATCCATGACGGAGAAATTTTGACAATCTATCATATTATGCCCTTGGAGCTTGTTTTAACCCATACAGAGCCTTTCCAAGTTTGTAGATAGTCAAGATAGTCATTGTTCTCAAAGCCAGGGGGTGTTTAACAAACACTTCTTCCTTTAGTAACCCGTTGAGGAATGCACTTTTTACGTCCATCTAATACAAAGTGAATTACATGTGAGCTGCAAATGCTATGAGTAATCTGATTGCCTCCAACCTTGCCACAGGTGCGAAAGTTTCATCATAATCTATTCCTTCTTCTTGATTGTACCCTTGAACTACTAGACGAGCCTTGTTTCTGGTTATTGTACCATGTTCATCTAACTTGTTTCTAAACACCCACTTTGTACCAATTATAGTTATGTTTGATGGTTTAGGTACAAGATTCCAAACTTTATTTCTTTCGAATTGGTTCAATTCCTCTTCCATAGCTATGATCCAATCTGCATCCTCGAGGGCCTCACTGATCTTGTTTGGTTCCACCATGGATAAGAATGCATTAAATGCACAATGATTTTTCAGCCCTGATTTGGTGGTTATTCCAGAAGTAAGGTCAGTGAGTATGTTGTCCAAAGGATGTGATCCTTGGTATTTGTAATCTTTTAAGACCAAATTTGGTTGTCATGTATCTTGACCATCATTCAATTTTGTTTGTTCTCCTTCAGGTACCCTTTCTATGTTCTCATCTTGGTTGTTATGAGAGTGGGTGATGATTTCATTATCTTCGTGGGGAGGACCTGGTCCTTTTTCTTGTTCCTTAGCATTATCAGTGGTTCCTTCTGAAATTTCATCATCTTCCTGCAGGTTCTGGTTAGGCATAGTATTATACTCATCAAATACAATATGAACACTCTCTTCCACACACATGGTTCGTTTGTTTAGTATCCTATAGGCATTGCTATGTGTGGAGTAGCCTAGAAAAATTCCTTCATCGCTCCTTGCATCAAATTTACCTAACAGATTCTTTCCATTATTGTGAATGAAACATTTACATCCAAATATTCTTAGATGTGAGATGTTGGGTTTTCTGCCTTTTAATAGTTCATACGGGGTTTTATCTAGCAAGGGTCGAGACATACATCTATTTATAGTGTAGCATGCAACATTGATGGCTTCAGCCTAGAATCGATTAGTGATTTTGTTAGCAATCATCATTGTTCTAGCCATTTCTTGGAGGGTTCTATTTTTTCTTTCAACTACACCATTCTGTTGTTGGGTTCTAAGAGCAGAGAAATTGTGATCGACTTCATGCAACATTGATGGCTTCAGCCCAGAATTGATTAGTGATTTTGTTAGTAATCATCATTATTCTAGCCATTTCTTGGAGGGTTCTATTTTTTCTTTCACCTACACCGTTCTGTTGTGGGGTTCTAGGAGCAGAGAAATTGTGTTCAACTCCATGAAGGTCACAATACTGAGAAAATTTTGAGTTTTCAAATTTAGTACCATGATAAGACCTAATTGAGATAAATTGTTTTTTTAAACTTATTTTGGAGTTTTCTTATAAGGGAGAAAAAGGCCTCAAATGCATCATCTTTAGAGGCTAGAAATAGTGTCCAAGTATACCTGGAGTAATCATCAACCAGAACGAACACATATCTTTTTCCCCCTCTGCTTTTAACCCTCATAGGTCCACATAAATCCATGTGTATCAGTTCAAGAGATCTGGTTGAGTTTATAGCCTATTTGGGTTGAAAGGATGATTTAACTTGTTTTCCTAGAGTACACGCCTCACAAACTCTTTCCTCTTTGAACTTAGTTTTAGGAAGTCCTACAACCAATTCGTAAGAGATAAGTTTGTTTAGTTGTACATGGCTGGCGTGGCCTAGACGTTTTTGCCACAACAAAGGATCCTTGTCCATCACACTTAAGCATACTAAGTTTTCATCAAAGATCCTTGAGTGTCAACTGTGTATACATGTTTATCTCGTTTCCCTGTTAACACAACCTTCTTTGTTTTGAGATTAATAACTTTAACATCAGTTGAAGAAAAAATTACCTCAGTCCCTTTGTCACATAGTTGAGATACACTTAGCAGGTTGTGTTTTAACCCTTCTACATGATATACTTTGTCTATTGACTGTTCGTCTGATCTTCCTATCTTTCTGATACCTTTGATTTGACCCTTTTTTCCACCATCAAAAGCAACCATTCCAACTCTGCCTTCTTCAAGTAAGAGAAATTGTGATGTATCTCCAGTCATGTGTCTTGAACAAACATTGTCCATGTACCAATGTTGCTTGCTTTCTCTTACTTGTTTTCTCCATTTCTTATATGTCTGAGTAGGGTTCAGATTATTCTATGGCCATCAAGGCAATGCCATCAGCATCTTCTTTATACATGTTTGAACTTGTTCCCCAAGCTGCATACATGGCTTGTTCCTTCTCTTTGTTTTTTCTTTTGCTTGAGAGTTCCCTCTTCTCCTTTTTAACCCTTTCTTTTCTCCATTCTACTTCCCACATAGGACAATCCTTAATGATCAGTTTTACCACACTTGAAACACCCTCCACTTTGTGGTTTCTCTGTAGTCTTCTCTTTGGTGGGTGATGCCTTTTTACCAAAATTCATGCCCCTTTTTGAAGAGTTTCTTGAAGTTTCTGCTAATTAGTGCCAATTCTTCATCATCTATATCTAATTCATCACTTTCAGTTGCTTTGAGTCCAAGATTTTTTTTCTTTGTTTCCCTCACTTCTTTTGTCAACATTCATCTCATATGTTTTGAGATTTCCTACTAATTCATCTAAAGTCATATTGGTTAAATCATTGGCTTCTCTGATTGCAGTAACTTTTATTTTCCATGATCTAGGCAAAGTCCTAAGCACTTTGTCTACTTGTTCCTCAGTGGTGTATATTTTTCCCAAGGAGATTAATTCGTTTACTATAGTAGTGAATCTGGTGATCATGTCTTGAAGTGGTTCTCCAGATTTCATCTTGAAGGCTTCGTATTCAGAGCATAACCTAGCAATTCTAAATTTTTGAACTTGAGTTGTACCTTTATGAGCATTCTGTAGAGTATCCCATATTTGTTTCGCGGAGGTGCAACTTGAGATCCGATTGAACTCATCAGGTCCGGTCCACATACAAGAATACATTTTGCCTTCGCATTTTTTCCCAACATCTTGTAGTCAGCTTCACTGTATTGTTCCTTAGGTTTTGGAACATTATTTCCTTCACTATCCTTAACAGTAGGGGTTAAAGGCCCATCGATGATTCTAACCCAAAGTTCATAATCTTCGGCTTGGATGAAATCCTCCATCTTTGTCTTCCACCATGAATAGTATTGACCATTGAATAATGGTGGTCTGTTGATGTGTTGACCTTGACCGTGTCCGAGAGGAGGTGCAGAACTCATAATGATCTTTATCTTGAGTTATTAGACTCTTGATTAAGATAACATGCTCTGATACCACTTGTAGAAATTATGACCTCCTTAATTCGGTAAAGGAACATGTACTTACTACTTGTTCTTTACTGTTTTCTAGTTGAAGTAAACAATTTTGTAGAATAACAATTAGTTCACAACTTTGTATTATTTATCTTAACTCCAAACACCACAATGATTACACACCTATGTAATCTAAGGAATTATAAAATCTACTTCCTAACTACCCAAGACCAAAACCCCCAGGTTCAAGTCTTCTACCGTCTTCCAAATTTCTCAAACATGTTAGACGTTCCTACACACACAACTCAATTGTAATGAAAAAACTCTTAACTACAATCGTACAACTTTTTTCCACAAACTCGCAGCACTCCCAAACAAATTACAAAACTCTTTCAAACTCTCTTTGCCAACGTTTTGATTGACTCTCTATGTAAGTGTGCAAACTTCCTTGAAGAAGTTATTGCCCTATTTATATATTTGGACTTGAATCCAAAACCTATTTCAACTTGGACTCCTACTTGTGCTCTGCTTCCTCTTCCGCTTGGAACTTAGAAGCTCACACGTAGTATTCCTGCTTCATGTAGAACTCCTTCTTTATTGCGCAAACCTACTTGATTTCCAAATCGTTCTCCCAGTCTGATTAGATGAACTTGAAACATGTAAACACAACCTGTTATATGCAACTTTGTCATTCTTCAAAATACTTAACTTATTTCCACTTAACAGTGTGGATGTAAATCATTTCATTAAGGGTAAAATATACATTTTATAGTTAAATTGTTACTTAATATAGAATTGTGTCATTTTTTTTTAGACTGACTAAAAAGGAAAGTAAGTCACATAAATTGGGACAGAGTGAGTATTAGGTGTTTGGTATTCAGTCATTATCAATGGATCTAGGATGGGATATTCTTTACATCTTCACAAGGACCGAAACAAGGAAATCCCTTATATATCACCATCTCTATTTATATTGGTTGCGGAAGTTTTAACTAAATATCTAAACAACTTACTCCCTCCGTTTTAAAAAAATTGACCTAGTTTGACTTGGAACGAAATGTAAGAAACGAGAGGACTTTTTTAATCTTGTGGTTCTAAAATAAAGTTATGTCAAATGTATCAAAATGCCCTTTAATGTTGTGGCTTCAAACATGTTACGTGGAAAGTTAAAGTTAAAGTGTTGCCAAAAAAATAAAGGGGGTCATTCTTTTTGAAACAGACTAAAAAACAAACTAGGTCATTCTTTTTTAAACAGATGGAGTATTTCTTATGAAAAGTTTATAATCCCGTTTACTATGTCTCAAAATGGACTACTAATTAATCGTTTGACTTATGCAGATGATATTGTGATCTTTTGTAGTGGAAGGACCAAAACTATCAAGATGGTGATGAAGCAAATTAGAAATTATGAGAAAAGCTCAAGACAACTGGTGAACAAAGATTAAAGTTCTTCTTGACAGCTCCTAAGGCATCAGCTAGCAGAATAAACAGAATGAAAAATAGTACTGGATTTATGGACAAGGAATTTCCATTCACTTATTGTGGATGTCCAATCTACGCTGGAAAAAAGAAAAATGAATACTTTGATGACATGATAAGGTGGTAAACAAGTTGGGTGTATAAATTTGATCATCAAAATAATAAATTTAAATTAGTCGTTGAAACATAAAAGTCAAAAAAACAAAAATATGTGTGAGCTAGGAGGATCTAATATACCCCATATGGATGATATTTTTTCAAAAAATTAATTAAAAAAATTAAATTAAAATTATTATTTTTTCTCTTTCGTTAGAGGAAAAGAGTATATGTGAGTCATTTGTATAACATTGGGGGTATATGTGAGTCACTTTCATAACGAGTGATATATCAGCTCTAAATGATAGAATTGAGATGTATATCAGACCCTTTTCCAAGAAAAAAAAAATATATATTACAAGAGGAATGGTTATGGCTTTTATTATTACCCATATTAGTTCGACACTCTCATTTTCATTTAAATCCGGCTAAAGTGTATATATATATATATATATATATATCATTTGTTGCAATTTTTATAAATTTTTATTTATAAAATTTATGCTTCACATCAAAAGTATTAGAT